CGTTGTTTCTAGATACAAACCTTTAATTATATTCTCTAACATTGAAAACACAAAGATCGCTCACAAAATCACAAAAAACCTGCGGGGTGTACTTAGCCTTGTCGTTTTCACAAAAAGCTAACCAGTGTCAAAATTAAATTCACGAGTCATTTCCCTCTGACACAGCTCTGAAAAGTATCATACACGTGGTTACTATGGTTTCTTTACAAAGTCTAAAATGCTTTGTTGCTTTTGCTTTTAACAGTCTGCTTGAAAACAAATGCTTCAATATGATTTATGCTGTCTAAAAAAGTTTTACCTGGATCGCGTTTCACAGCTGCGTTGTTCAGCAAATTACCATGCAAATGCGATTTGAATACGCGCTGTTTAGCACTTGTGATACATTTTTAAAAGCCGGCGAATCGTCCTGGGGATGGAGATAACCGATGTTAAGTGGCGATTTTGGCCCTCTTTTGTGCTCAAGATATTAGGGTTCGGCGACATAAAAGAATCGACATAACCGATGAGAAAATGCTAAGACAAAGGGGAATTTGGCGGTTCCCTCTATACATTTGGTATATTCAAATGTATATCGAAATATTGGAAATGTGTTTAAAAATCGTATCACCGTTATTGAAAAAAATTCTATCGCGATATATATTGATATCGAATTATTGTCCAGCCCTATGTTGTATCCACAGGTGAATTTTGATGATTATGATGCAGCAATGGGAGTCCTTAATGTGAATCAACACTGGAAATTGTTGGTGAGTTTTATCTTACCATAATCTTGCCGTAACCAAAACAGGAGTGACAGATAACAAATGTAAAAATAATGCATAATGAATTGTAGGCTAAATATCGAAGTGTTGTATACTATTATGCCAAATGAATATAACTTTAGTTGCAGTTAATAATTTACTCTGTATTACGTATTAATTCACAATAATGCTGTACTATGTGTTATATTTATATAAGTACTTCACCAAAAAATATTTTGAATACTTATCACTTCAAAAATACATTGAACAGCAAGCTACAAAGATAAAATCTATTTGTTCTCAAAATCTATTTGTTGACAAGTTCATAGCAATGTAATGGAAATAATGAACACAATCAAACTTTTGTTTTTCCTCCAGTTTCTCAACGTTGCTTCAAAAGAAGCATTGATTATTGACCCTATGAGTCTAAATGAACAAGCTGATTCAAAGGAAGCAGGGCAAAAATTTAGGTATTTAAAAATTGTGAATTGATATTATAATATACAGTAAACAGCGGCAATGGATAATTTACCGGATTCATTGTAACCTGTAAGACTGTTCTTGTGTTTAGGAAATACTTCCAAATGCGCCACAACATTCTGGGGAGAAAGGAATGGTGCTGCCACAGATGGAATCCGGCCACAGTCCCCCACACACATCAACAGGATGGGAGCAGTTGTGGTGTTTTTGTCATGAAGGTCAAAGACAATAATTAGAATATTACTGCAATAGCCTATATTTTGAAAGTGTTTAATGCTGTTTTACTAAACTTTTAGCTTAAAAGCTTTATTTTATGTTTTATTAAGCTGTGAAAGTTTTCACGTAAAATTGGCAGCTAATACGAGTTATGTCACAATGTTATGCATGTACTGTCTATTTTCAGATTGGAGAGGAAATCCTAAAGATGTTCCCCGATATACCAAGTCAAATCAACATAGATGGAACGCTAAATGGTGTCAAGCGTTTGCGGGAAAGGATAGCAACCACCATTTTGGCCTCCTCGGGCAAGATTTTTTATTTTTATTAAATTAGTCATGCACATTGCTTAAGTCAGCTTTGGCAAAATGGAGGGGTTGGTCTATGGATATAGAATGGGACGTCTTAAAAGTTCCTGTAGCTGTAATGGCCAGGTGTCCCCATACTTTTGTCTGTATAGTTCATGTTGGTTCATAAAAAGTCTTTCATTTCATCCTTACCTCTTTCTCTTCCTCATTATTGTGAAATTTTACATGAATGTCTGTTGATAGTTATGTCTCATTTATAGTTGACGATTTACATTTGAAATAAAATTATACGTGTCACAAAACTACAGAATAGTTAGTTTAGTCTTGGTCATTTAGTCTCAATTTCTGTAAAATAAAGAAAGTAGAAAATAAGTCAAAATTTATATACCATCTTCCAAATAACAGAGCCAGTGAAGGATGTTTGCCAGTTGTGTGGCCTGAAAGAGACGGCAGGGAAATCACTTTGGGTATGTATATTATACTTAAAATATATTATTAAAAAATTATATTAAACTACTAAAATATACAGAATGTGACAGCATGAAGGACTAATATTTATATTCTGTTTTGAAATTAAAATAAAAATGACATGAATTTAATTTGTAAATGAATTGTTGTCATACAGATTCAGTGTGATGCTTGCATGCTTTGGACTCATATGAAGTGCACAGACCTGACTCAGGAGGAAATAAAGTCAATCACTAATAGCAACAGTAAATGGTTTTGTCAATACTTTACAAATGCAATTTAACTGTTGTCACATGTGAAAGGAAATGTTTTCATTGTTTTGAAAATGATTAAAAATATTTCAAGAAAGGCACTGCACTATTATTGTATTTATATATTTAATTAGTCCACAGGTTGTGGTGTTCAAATCTTAAGTTTGATATGTTCATGAAAGACTCAGAATAAATATTAAAAAAGGCAAAATGAATGACAATGAACAAATATAAATATCACATTACATTACTTTTGAAACTGTTTAATTGGTCATGACTGATGTTAAATCTTTTATTTTTACAAGGTAAATTGTACAAAATATTACTGAAATTTCTGTTTGGTAAAACAAAGCTGTTAAATGTCAAGTAAAAACATATTATTCAATTAAGCTTTTGAAATTAATTTCAATCAAACCACAATACAAATATTTGGGTCTCTCCTCTAATGAGCAAGTTGACTGTGATAGCAATAGACAGAAATGGAGAATCCTGTGGTAATCAATAAGTCTGAAAATGGAAATGCATCCCCTTTTGGGTGCACTGGATTGCAATTAATGAACTGTGGAAGTGTGACTCTCAATTTGTGAAGATTTCTTTCAAGGCAAATTTTATGAAAAGTTACGAATGGTCTCACTTGACAACTTCATGGCACAATGGGAGAACTTCCATACATGCCAATAAATTACTGACTGTTACTTGCTGTTCTCAGCAGGATGCCAATGCCATAAAATATCCCAATTTAAATAAAAGACACCAAATACTGCACATAAACGTCATCTTTTCTGCTACTTTTCAGGTATGTAATATTGGTCACATATCTTTTAAAGAAAATTATAATTTCAGACATTTTTAACACAACGTAACATGTCTAACACCACACTACTTAAGAGTAAATTGTTATTAAAAAGTACATTTTAAAAGAGTAAGACATTGTGATTCACGAGGGTATGTTCATTATTAGTGAGGTTCATGTGTAAAAACAGTGCTTTTTCCCACCAGCTGCCTAATACACACACTGACCTATGACTGACTGACCACATTTGATTTGTGAAAAAATTCACAAATCAGACTGATCAATTTGAGCCTAGTTTGGTCCTTCTGGGCCACATTGTCAGGGTGTTCTGGCCACTGGTCTGTGATGCAGCCCATGTATTGCTATGGCATGTGACATGTGTTTTTAATCCCTTCTGTCTCAGCGCTTATCAGTCACTGGCAGACGAACTGAGGACTGTGAAAAAATTCACAAATCAGACTGGTCAGATTGAGCCTGCCTGGACCTGTTTATATGGTGAAGTTTTTTTATTATTCGCGTTTGACAATAAAAAGGCAAAGTATAATATTCGCAGATTTCGGGATTGGAAATGACGTCATCCGAATTCACAAATCACGAATAACAAAATGCCACTGTGTTTACTAGTTTACCTCACCGCACTGTCGAGATAAACTCAAAGGAATGCCGAATCACAAACTGCAAACTAACTTTACCGCGGTTCATGAGACATACCGCTGCCCTCGGACCGCGTGCACAAAACGTTAGCGTGTTGCTAACGAGAAAAGTCAACTTAAATTAACCAAAGCTTTGTAACCAAGACTGTGCAACCAAGTGTAATGTATAACTAAATATAATGTATAACAAACGTCCTCATAACTTGAAAACCGCGGCTTTTGAAAATGGCTTTGCCAAGATCAACCTGCCCTCAAAAGATTCGCTCTGATTGGATTTCCCCACAAAAGGGTAGTTCTTATTGGATCTCTTCTCCATTCGTCCCGCCCCAACATTTTCCTCTAGTTTTTATTCGTTGACTAAAGTGTCAGTTAAATTTCGTCATCGTCTTCGTCATCATATCTGACTTTTAATTTAGTTTTCGCCTGTAAAAAATGTTCGTTGACGAATGTTTTTCGTCATAGTCTTCGTCAACGAAATTAACACTGCCTGGGCCTTCAGAACCCTACACCACTAATAAGAGACCATATTAATGTAGAAAAATAGCCAGTTAAAATACCAAACCTGACCTCAAAAATCACCTTTTAGACAGCTTACTCTGAGTTTCAAAAGTAACGTGCGCCAGCATAAGTAGTTATAAAATACGCAAATATAAGTAATCCATCACATGCAATCATCATTTTATCAGCATTTTCATCGTTAGCTTTTTAAGCTAATGTTAACCAGCTCTTAGCAAAAGAATAATAACATGCTCATTGCCTCAGACTAGTTTATCAAAGTAAATCCTGTTAACCAAATAAATGTTAAACAATCTTACCTTTGGAATAAGTGCAGTGAAAAATCTTCCAAAATTCTTCTTTTGTGCGCCGGATTGCTTCACCAATACTGCCGCCGAAACATTTTTTTGAAACTCCCGCCTAATGTTCAGCTTCTTGGTCCCGCCCCCTCTGTTTCTTTAGACCCGCCTCCTCTACGATTTGACTGGTTATTTCTCTGAACCAATCAACTTTCGTTCTGCCCTCAGAACGTTTTTGAGTAAGTAAAACTCCCAGGAGCCTATTAAGGACCATATAAGCCCGATTAAGGTAGGGTTGGAATGAAAACATTCTGGCATGTGGGTCGCCAGGAACAGGATTGAGAACCACTGTTGTAAAGGCTTCTTCTTTTTGCTTTCGCAGTGGCGAAGTCTATTTTGTGTCTTGCTATTGCTCCCGCTTTACTAATGCTGCTTGATATCATCCAGTATGCAAGTTATTCTGTTACTGTCTCTCTGTATCTGACGACCGCCTCCAGCTTAAACAGCATACAGTAACTGCAACATGTGTGCATGTCTCTGCTAACCCAGCCATACAAGTACAGTGAGCAGAGGATATGGCTCCTGAGGGCTCGATGATGGCCCATGGCTTGAGAAGCGTGTAAGATAGATAACACATAGACAGACAACAACAGTTTACCACAGTGTTAAATTATTCAGTATATTATGCTTCATTTGTAAGGCTGTCTACATGATTACAGTCAACTTCACCTTATAATTACTAATAACTTGAATATGTTAGCTTACAGTGACGACTGTGTTGTCGCAGTCCTGCATTTGAAATGTAGACAGATCACGCACCCAACCATTGATGAAATGTCCGTGAGATTCAAGAGATTTATAGTTTTTGAACTGTTCATATGTGTAAGCACTGATACTATAAACAAGGTAGTTTGTTATATCCAGACATGAAGTTGGAGGCAGCAATGTCACGTCGGCATTGTATTGTTTTGCTGTGAGGTCATACGGATCTATATTATTGACTGTTGACAATTTACCTGTAGTCAAATACCGATCCTTGGCGTCCTTCGTAAGTTTTTCACTATACGGTATCTTCTCATTCTTCTTTTTCTTCTCCATTCATCCTAGTGTTTACATCCGCGATACACTCAAAATGGCGAATGGGGGCGTGTCAGACAGTGCAGACACGTGACTGACAAAGACCGATTGTCCCTACTCGGACTGTCCATTGTTATGCAAATAACAAGCCATGGGTGAGAGAGGTATGGAGAGGCATGAAGACCATCACTGGATTGTGAAGACAGAGCCAACAAGTTGAATTTGTTCTTCAACAGATTCGACTTTGCAGTTAATGCCCATCCCCCTACTCAGTTATCTACAGTCAGCCTGCAATTCACACCATTCTCTCTCCCTCTCTCTCCTCCTTGCACCATAGCATCTGGTGAAAGACTGGACACCCCTCTTCCACCTGTCACTTTCACTTACGACCAGGTTCAGAGACAAATTAGAAGACTCCACTCAGCAAGTCTGCAAGACCAGACGGGGTGAGTCCCTTTGTCCTCATGGCCTGTGCCCCCCAGCTTTGTGGAGTGTTTCACAAACTCTTCATGATGAGCCTGAGGCTGCAGAGGGTCCGAGGGCTGTGGAAGACGTCATGCCTCATTCCTGTACAAAAGATGCCACATCCCAGTGGCCCCCAGGACTACAGACCTGTGGCACTCACTTCTCATGTCATGAAGACCCTGGAAAAACTCATCCTTGACCAGCTCCGTCCTATGGTCTGACCACATCTGGACCCCCTTCAGTTTGCTTACCAGCCCCACCTTGGAGCCGAGGACGCCATCATCTAACTGCTCAATCATGTCTACACCCACCTGGACCAGCTGGCGAGCACTGTGAGGGTCACGTTCTTTGACTTTTCCAGTGCATTCAAGACCATCAGGCCAACTATCCTGGGTGAGAAGCTGACAGTGATGCAGGTGGATGCCTCTCTAGTGTCCTGGATTGTAGACTACCTGACAGAAAGACCACAATATGTGCGTTTTAAACGTTGTGTGTCTAACATGGTGGTCAGCAACACCAGGGCACCACAAAGGACCGTCCTCTCTTCCTTCCCACTCCCCCTCTACACCACGGACTTCAGCCAATGCACAGAAACCTGCCATCTTCCGAAGTTTTCTGATGATTCTGCGGTGGTTGGATGCATCAGTGGTGGTGATGAGACAGAATACCGGGCTGTGGTGGATTCCTTTGTCACGCGGTGCGAGCAGAATTATCTGCAGCTGAATGTGACGAAGACCAAGGAATTGATTGTGGACTTTATATAGAAAACCGGTGACCCCTGTTTCAATCCAGGGGGTCGATGTGGACATACTGTAGTAGAGGACACATTGACAATAAACTGGACTGGGTTAAAAACACGTCACTGTACAAGAAGGGCCAGAGCCGCCTCTATTTTCTGGGGAGGCTGAGGTCCTTTAACATCTGTCAGACAATGCTCAGGATTTTCTATGAGTCTGTTGCGGCCAGTGCTGTACTCTACGCTGCAGTGCCATACTCTACGCTGCAGTGCTGTACTCTACGCTGCAGTGCCATACTCTACGCTGCAGTGCTATACTCTACGCTGTTGCATGCTGGGGCAGCAGGCTGATGGTAGCGGATGCCAACAGACTCAACAAACTGTTTCGCAAGGCCAGTAACATTGTGGGGATAGAGCTGGACTCTCTAAAGGTGGTGTCGGAGAGGCGGATGTTGTCCAAGCTAAGGACAATGCTGGACAATATCTTCCACCCACTCCATGACGTGCTGGCCAGTCACAGGAGCATGTTCAGTGAGAGATTAAGACTACCCAGATGCACCACTGAACGACACAGGAGAT